ATTCAAAATAAAAATACCATTAAGAAAAATAACATGAATTAATAAGATTGATTGACTATGATATACTCAAAACTGTGTTTAATATATATCAGTTTTAAAATAAATAAAAACATACACACATAAATAAAACACTAAATCCTAAATAATAATATTAATTTTAATGCAGGTATTCTATACATTTATTTCTAATCAAGTTGTGCCATAACATTACAAATCACAGGAAATAAAGTGACCAAATATATATCCTCAAATTGCAGCATTTAAAAGGAAATTTTCAATTAAAACTGCATCACTATTTAAAGTTCAGTACACTATCTTTCGAAAAATATATGTAATATTCTAAATAAATTCAGAATATAAGTTAAAAACACTTTAATTTTAAACCTCACTATGTTAAGTCTATGACACCCTCGCCACCCAGAGACCCGCAATTGATTGTTTGTTTACAATCAATGCCCGTGCCCCATGAATAAATGTGAATTCAGAACTGTAATAGCTGTAGAGTATTCTTCTTCTTTATAGAATAGTATATATTTCTGTATCTATATAATTCGGTAAATAACAATAGAGAATCATCTGAATTACTTGATATAGTATAATTTCTTTTGATTATTAATAAATTTTTTCCGCTTTTTTGGTAAATAGAATTCAGCTTTGTAAAAGCAATGACCTATACTGTTTGTCTACGATAGGTACTCTGCCAGACATTCGTCTGGAACTGTGGCGGTGACTATGGTAACGAGGTATGATTATTTCAAGTAGGGATTCGGGTCCCTCTTTAGGACTGGTTTCGGCGAAGGAAAAGGAGAACTCTTCCTCTCCTGCTAGCAGAACAAAACTATCATCAGTTGCACTGGAGATTTCTTCAGTGTAGCACGGTTACTTTTCTTCCTTATTGTGTCATACTAAATCAAAACAAGAAAAATGTTTTATATTCTTTCTTATACAAGCGAACACAAAATGGAATCGCTTTTTTTTTAATCGAAGGAAAATTCAAAACACATCGAGAAATATTTGTAAATAAACAGAAAAAAATATGCATCTTCTTAATAGAGTTAAAACCAAATTCCTGCGAAATCGTTCTATTAAATTTAATGATCTTGAGGGGAAATACACATCGATTATGTCAATTTTTATCTATCAAAGGGTACCTCGAGATAGAATCAAGTTAACATGTCTTATATGCACTAGTGATTTGGTATTTAATATTTATAGTGGTAGTTACGCCACGTTACTCCTCTTCCAGAATTTTATCTGTGATAGAATTCGATGAACAGATGCCACTAGTTGATTCATGCTGTTTATATATTTATATAAATTTTGTTCATTATTTTTTAGTTTAAAGCCTTTCGCTCAGTAATTCATTTTTTTTTCTTTTCAAAATCACGTCCGGGTCACCAGTGAGGGGAATTAATTATCGACTATGTCAACTTTCATCTATCAAAAGGTGCCTCAAGATAGAATCGAGTTAACATGTCTGATATACTAGTGATTCGGTAGTTAATATTTGTAGTCGTAGTTAGGCCACAAGTTTCTAGCTTGAATTCGAATAGATAAAAATCTTTTAAGTTAGGAAACTAAATAGAACTGAAAACTACATTAAACATTGTTCTAAAAGAAAGAGTCGTGGAAATTTTTCAAAAAAGTTTTTTAACTATTAGAAACGAAAAAATATTAAGAAAAGGAAAAATGCTATATCCTATAGAACAGAAAAGAGGAGGAGAGGGAAGGGTCAAAGGAATGGAATCGGTCTTCTACCCAGATGGCGTATTCGAGTGTTGCGATTGCTTATGCTAATTTTAACGTATGATGGCGCACGTCTTGCATCTAGAACAAACTGTAATAAGCAAGTAAAAAGAGGACAAATCAGAACAGTAAAAAAGCTAGTTATTCTAAAATTTAACAACCGTGTTTATCTTTTTTTTTTCTTTAACAATTTCTGTATAACTATGCATCCCACTGCAAAAGATCAAAATTGTGATGGCATGTCTTCAGATCATCCTCAACTATGTTTCCCAGACAGTCGCCAATAGCCCATTGTGCAGCTCTAGTGTGACGTAAATGAACTAAAACAATAAGAAGATCGAATTTTAAGAATAAGATTATAGTTTTAAGGATAAGATAATTTTTGGACAAGATTAATGCATCAACTGAAAAATTGTTTGTACCTGAATGGTTGACTGAGAAAATGTTGATAACTTCCGGTGTATCCCTGCACTTATGTTTGTTTAGTAGGCGATGTCTGAGCAGGCTTAATATTTTGTAAGCTTTATTATTGCATTACGCGTTTAAATTTACGTGCGCGGACCGATCTAGACTAATTCAGGCACAAGGTCCACCAAATTTTCCCTTACAAAATATTTTGAAATTAAATTACTGAAGTTTGCATAATATTTTGAGTAATTCGTCCTAACAATGGAAAAGAATCTAACGAACAGCATGATTCAAGACAAGCATTGTAAGAAATTGTGAAAGCAGGCAATTGAGGATTATTTTTCTAAGATAAAGTTTACGTATCTATAAATTAAGGCAAAATATAAAACAATGTTATGTCAAAATAAAAATAGTTTCGTGACCACACACAATTGAAAGCTGAGATTTTTGCTAAAATTCATTGATCAGCTGAATTATTTTTTTTATTGTAAGCTGTAATTATTTTTTATTTAGTACTTAAACCAACACACAGCTATCCCACCTTTCTTTCGACTTTTTACTAATTTTTGAGGCCCCTCAGAATTTTTGGACCCTAGGCCCATGTCTATTAGGCCTAGGCGATAATCAGGATATGTTTAAGCGTCATTTTACTATTCATAAGAGTTTATTGGAATTTCTAAATTCAGTTTGTGAGCCTAAAACATTCTTAACAAAATTAATATCACAGCATACATGGAGGGCAAGTTTTGCCCTGTTTTGAGTGTTATCCCTAATTTGGCTACATTTGTGTAAAATAGCATCGTTTGTTATATTTTGGGTAGCATCATAGCTAACTTGCGGGTCTTCTGAATTCATTTGTTGTTTCTTTCGTTCGTTTGTTCGTGACTGTTTGATTTAAAGAACTCTTTATATTAAAAACCCTACGAGTTTATTAATATGTGATGGTGGTTTATTTTTTTTTTATTTATTTTTTTTTTAAGCATCAAATTCAGTCGGAAGTAGTAATCCATCCAGTAGGTGTTCGACGAATTTAACCCCTAGCGCCATCTGCGCTTGGTTTTACACGGTCACTATCCGTTCCCTACTTTTTTAACTGTAAACTTCACCTTGAATGAAATTCGCCGAGGAGCTTGCATATCTTGATAAATGTAAGGAATTAAATTTTCATAACTATCATTCATAAACTCATTAATGCATTTAAGTTATCACTCTATTGTTATTTGTAAAAGTCAATTGCTCTAGTCAATGATTAAAACCAATGTTTAGGCCATGTAACAGTTATACGTAGAATAGCTTGCGTAGTCGCCATTTTATTGTTGAATTATTATGCTATAATATTTTAACCGTATCTAGATTGGGAAAATAAAAGAAGTTAATAAAACAGAAAACTATTGATTTAGTTATTGTGGCACTCAGTATATTTTATATTCTGCTTGTTAAAGTTAGCTAATAAAATGGCGGATGCTGATATTGATTTGTATGCAGACGATATAGACCATGATTTCAATCAAGACGGTGACTATAATCATGATACTAATGTAGATCTTTATGATGATGTTATTACTGCCCCATCTGATGATCATCATAATGATGAAGGACGACCATCGTCTGCTGGTAGCGGTGCTTCTCCGCACCATTCCCGCCATGGTGGTAAAAGAGTCGCCGCCTACGTTGGAAATTTGACGTGGTGGACAACTGATAAAGATTTGACTGAAGCAATGCAAAGTCTTGGTGTTAATGATATTTTAGAAATAAAATTTTATGAAAATCGTGCAAATGGTCAATCTAAAGGGTTTTGTATTGTTGCCCTAAGTTCTGAAAATTCTCTCCGTATAATAATGGAAAAATTGCCAAAGAAAGAGCTACATGGCCAAAATCCTGCAGTGACTGCTTGTACTCGGCAAAATTTGAATTACTTTGAGCTGCAATCTAGAAAAGGCGGGCATGGTGGTGGGAATCGTCACGATAATTCTAATGAAAGGCGCAGCAGGGATCGAGACAGAGAACGTGATCGAGATGGTAGAGATAATAGGAATGATAGTAGAGGTATGCAACAAGATCGATCCAGAAATCGTGGCAATGCGAATCAAGGATATCAGCAACAAAAAATGCCTCCTGGGCCTCATATGCAACCACCTCCACAAGGACCACCTCCTCCACAATATCAACCTGGACGAACCCCGTGGATGTCGGCTCCTCCTCCCCAAATTCAAATGCCTCCTCCACCTGGACGACCTGGAGCTCCTCAGGTGAACACTGGTGCACCTCCTCCACCACCGGGATTGCAAGCTCCGCCACCTGTTAGACCTGGACCACCACCTCCAAATAACTTGAGGCTCCCACCTCCGAGAGGTCCTTTGCCTCCAATGGGTCCTAGAGGCATACCTCCACCTGACACCAGGGGACCACCTCCTACAAATGATTGGGACCGTCATTTATCACAGCCTCCACCACAGCATGTTGGCTTACCTCCACAACCTGTTGGACCGCCTAATAGGCCTCCTCCTCCGGTTCCAGCTCCAGGGCAAGGTATGCCCCCAGCAATACCGCCACCTGCACCACCGATTCCAAGTCCTCATATTAATCCTGCATTCTTTCACCAGCAAGGAGTGCCGCCTGGACTTGCTCCTGCATCTCAAGCTCCAGACTTATACAATCGACCTCCTCCTGTTCAATTCTCTGATTATAGATCAATCACTGACAGAGGTCCTGAACCTTCTTCATCAATAAGTGATGCTGAATTTGAAGAAATCATGGGTCGCAATCGTACTGTGTCTAGTAGTGCCATCGCTAGAGCGGTTGCTGATGCAAGTGCTGGAGACTATGCCAGTGCTATTGAAACTCTTGTTACAGCTATATCTTTGATTAAGCAATCCAAAGTTGCGAATGATGAAAGGTGCAAAATTTTGATTAGTTCTTTGCAAGATACGCTGCATGGCATTGAATCTAAGTCTTATGGTTCTCGAAGTAAAGATAGAGCTCGTTCTCGTGAACGAGAGAGGTCGAGAGAGAGATCTTCAAGAAGGGAAAAATCAAGTCGTCGTGATCGTTCACGAAGCAGAGATAGAGAGTATAGGGATCGTAGCAGAGAAAGAGATCGATATCACGATGATCGCTATCGTGACAAAGATAGAGATCATGACCGAGACCGTAGAAGCTCCCGACACTAAATGTAATTTCTTTTCCTCACTCTATATTATAGATTTGCCTGTTACTATAATTCATATATGCCTACTTTTGATGTATTCTGACTATTATCACTTAGAAATGTAATTATATTGGTTAAAATGCATTGTTTTAAACATTAATCATTCCGACATTTCGATGACAATAATTCATTGTATCTTTCTGAATCTGAATAAAGCATTATAAAAATTTGTTATTGAAATCTTAATGTAAAGAAATCTTTTTGTGTGATATTGTGTGTAATTGATGTGTTTGATTTAGAATATTATATCCATCAATTAAATATAATAATTTTCTTCAAATTACTAAATTTCAAAAATTAAATTAAAAGAAATTGTGTTAATTGATATTAATTTTATAATTTAGTTGAATATCTTGCATTAATTATCTAAAGAGTTGTCTTAGTTCTTTTTATTTGCTTGTAAAATTGTTTTACAATGTTATTGCTTTATTTTCTTCTTGGGCCGAGTGACACTTATCCATTTTAAGTTAATATTGTATGTTCTTACAATAATGTTTTATGCGACATTGAGCTTTCTAGTTTTTACAAGACAGAGAAGAGGCCTGATGAAAGCCTACACCTTCTACAAAACTGGAAAGAGATACTTCATTGAAACAACAAGCTAATATGTAAATTTTTTTGTGTTTAAAGTTGTTAAATTTTTTGTCACACAAAAATGTTGGTCTTTGAAATTTATTTAAATTTAAGGCTAAATGCAAGTTGTTACAAGGTTTAAATTATATTTGTAAACTACTATCTTTCAATATTGAGAAATTCATTACAATGAATTTAATCACAGATACATAGGTCTTTTAGCTTATAGTAAAGGTGTTTTTATATATACATAAATGATTAAGAAAATTTAGTGCTGTAACAAATCTTAAGGATATTTGATTGAAAATTTTCAAATTATATGATTGGTTTCGGTTTATTTTGTTAAAATGATTGAGAGCTGACATACTAATCTATTAGTGCCTAATATGTTGAGGGAATGCGTGTTATTGTTCTGTATTGCGAAATTTGATGATCTTTTGAACTTGTTATTTAAGAAATTTTAGGATTTTAAATAGTTTTAGAGATGAAAAACAATTTTGTTTTAAAATAGGTCAGGTAATGAATTTAAAACTAACTATATTCTATGTTTATTTAATAGTTGACAAGATTATAACAATTTCATTTAAAAAGCTAATGTGATTGAAAATTTCATTGTGAAACATTCCTTCTTTTGAATAATGAAAATGCTTGTGCAATGAAACATCCAGATCGTATATATTCAAATAAGTTTCTGTTCAGTAGTTACAGGTAATGTGTATAATTTTTATAAATATGAGGTCTGTGGGAAGAAAATACTTAGACACAAGTATTTCTGAAAGCTTTTTTATAAATCTTAATTTAATTAAATAATCTAGTTTTTTTTTCTTAGTTATATTATGCTATTAAAATTATGTTATAATTTGTAAAAAATTATAAAACATCAAAAACTTTCAGAGATACTAAGATCAAATTTTTTCCTTTTCTTCATTTTATTAAAAAAATTCCTTTCTTTAATTTTATTAACGATTTCAAATTAATGGAAAATAAGGTTACTGTTTTTTATCATGTGATGCAGACCTATTCTGCAGAAGAGAAAGCTGTTTTAAGGTGTTTATCATGCAGATAGTATTTAAAAGTAAAATGTTTATTTCTATCACCCTGTTATTTAATCTGTTTAATATGATCTTTTCTTCACAACTTATGTAATTCATCTTGGCTATTTAATTGTGGACGAGTCGTAAATGACGAAGAAATTGTGAACCGAAAGAGATTTTATCGTTCTCGTAATCTGAACTGAGGTAAGGTATTGTTCATTAATAAATTTTTATATGTATTTCTATTTTTTATAAAAAATATTAACTTCATAATGTTGTCTAATGGAAAAGAATTATTATTGCTTTTCATTTGTATTTATGAACTACAATGAGAAAATGTAATTATGATGTGTTCATACCAGAACCTGCAACATATTTGGTATTATGCTACTGTTTTGTTTTGTTTTCCCCCCTAATTCAGCTTCATAGCTTATTGGGGATAATATGAGATATTTCAATAAGTATTGAAATTCATATAACTCTGCTAACAAATTAGCAATTAAAATAATAGTTTACAAAAATATGAAAATTAATAGTATTTTATTAAAATTTCATATTTGGCAGCAGTTTTTTTTCCTCCTTGTCTAAATATAAAACACTGCATAGTATATTTACAAATATGTAACCATAACCAGTTTTATATATGTATACTTTTGCATGTTTATCACATACATTGGGTATTTGTTACATTAACTCTTTATTCCAGATAATGAAGTAATTTTTAATGTAAGTTAAAATTTCAATTATAGATACTAGATTGTACAGCAGCTTAGCTGCAATTGTGACAGTTTTGTTCTGTTAAAAGAAAAGGGTTAAATTAATTATGATTATATCCAAGAATTAAGCTGTTTTGTAGTTAAAAATTGGTATATTAATTTACTACTAAAAATATAATGAAATTATTTCAAATAATATTTTCAAATACATTTTTGGTAAAATCAAATTCTGTCTTACTGATCTGTTATGGAATTGTTTTAAAATTAAACATGGGGCAGTTCTCTTCTTAAAATTTAACAGAATTCAAACTAAAATTTTAGATTAAAAGAAATTTATGCCGTTACCTTTTAAAGTGTTAGTATTTTAACGTGTGTTAAAATTTTCAAATAAGTGTAAGACACTGAAATAACTTGATAAAATTTTATGTAATTGCTTTATCAAAAATAATGATATAACCTGTTTTGTCACTAGTTTCTTAATTAAGTTATTTCCATTTTTAATGTGTTATATTTGTATCTGTTACAAAAAATTGTAGTTAAAAATGCAACTTTAATCATTTCTAGATTATTCATGTTACTATGTATTTGTATCCCTTATAATACAAAATGGTTCTCAATTACGCTGTATTCTCAAACCTCTAATGTATAAACGTATGTATCAAGTTTTATAGGAAACATATTTTACCTAATATGATACGATAGTTTATGTAAAAGGATCACATATAGAATGCATTTAACACTTGACCAAGATTGATTTTGGAAATTTTGCAATATTTACTATAAAAATTAAAATCTGTGTTTAAGTTTTTCTATGATTGTTGTCTAAATTAGATTGGGGAAACTACAGGCTAAAAACCTGATGCTTTTCCTTTTTATTTGTTTACCTTTTCTAATTCCTTAAGATTGGTATTAGGTTTAATGAATTTTATTTTTAGAACGTCAGGAGTCTTTTTTTTCATTGTGATAATCATACCCACATTATGTTTGAGGCTAATAATATGGATTAATAATTCTAATATATTTTCAACTTTGTAAAAGAATTTTTAAATGGATCTAGAAGATTTTTTTTTGTTAAGTATATCTGAGAATTGACTTTCTAATATTTTAATTTGAACTTGCATTGTTTGTATCTAATTATTAAATTTTTATTTGACACTTTATAACAGTGTTAAAATCGCATTCATAATTAACACAATATTTTTTTTTAATCTTAAATGTTTTGTGAATATGATAGCTATTTTATATGTATAATGCAGAAGCATTTTATTTTCCCTGCATTATTTATAGAGAAATTCTGTTTTTGAACAAAATTTAGTTTATGTAATCTTTATTATTTTTTTTCTAAATATGATTACTAAATCACTTGTATTTATTGGTCATTGCTGGCTATTAATCAAAATGCTTTAGTGTTCTTCTTACATGGTTTTATGACTGGGCTACCCTGTACCTCTCACGAAGAAAATACAATTTTAAAAAGATGGTCTCTTTTTTTTTTCCTTTTCCAGTAACAGAAACCTTGTGATTCTGTTTTCCTTAGCTTTTGTAAATTTTTATGCGAAGTTAACATTAAGACTTGTATTCTTAACGTTCATTCTAGTATATTTTTGTTCAACAATTTTATTTTACATTTAAGGATTTCTTTTACATTTTCAAATATTTGATAGATAGCTGCTGTTATTTTAGACAAGTACTAAATTATCATTTTGAGAGTTATGTTATGAAATCTTTTGCAGCATCAAAGTGATCTTTAATTTATATAAACCGCCACATGCACCTCCACATTTTTATTCCACATGCAGCTCTTATCTTGTTTTTATTCAAAAATCTAATTATGGTGTATGTTAATAATCCGTACGTGTAATTTTGTAAATCAAATACTTTTCTATAGATAATGATTTAAAAAAAATTTATGATTTACAAATGTAGGATTTTGCTTGCATTTGTTAAACATTAGGAGCTTATTGCTGGCTTCAGTTAAAAAAATTTAAAAGTTGTGATATTCTTCTTTCTTCTTAATTTAGTTCTCAAATAAAAGATGTCTACCAGTTTGATGTAGCAGAATTGAAATGATGTGACAGTTAAGAATTTTTTTTTGTTAAAACTTCACTGCGAAAGGTTTATTTGGAATAATTGTTATTTGAAAAATTATTTCTAAAAAAAATTGTGTTTTAAGGTTACCTTTATCAACTGATTTTTTCTAAATTACATTAATTTTAAAATCTTGTCTCATTGACTAATACCTAAATGTTTTTGTTTATTTTGAAAATGGACAATTTGCAAATTATTGTTCTAAGAAGCAGATTTATCAAAAATTTTGTTTACAAAAACTATATTGGTTGGAATTTTCAGTAGGTTTATGTAAATGTTATAATTTTTTTATTACCAGAACTATATATTAAATTGATTATAAAAATACATTTCATTATCTTAGTGACCTTCTCCAGCATGCATGTTTATCTGTAATGGGTATCCATTTTTATTAACTAATGTTGCAAGTAATAATTAATATATTTAAATGTATATTAAATTTTAAAAAAGACTGAATGAAAAGGCAGTGCAAATTAAAAATGTATATATTATGATATATGCAAATAGAACATATTTCACAATAAGTATTCATTTTCATTGAAAATAACTTTAAAAATGTATTAAGACTTTGTAATTACATTTTTGTATTGCATGTGCTTTTCCTCCACATTAAAAAAAAATGTTTTTAAAACAATTTTTGTCACAGATCGCTCCTAGTATAATTCAGTAGAAAATAAAACTTACAAAATATTACTGTATCTTTTCATATTCTACAAATTGCATTGGATTTTCATTATCTTTTCACATTCTTTACTACTCATAGTATATTTTATATAATTTATTTTAGCCAATGATTTTTTCAACAAATACTGTAACTTGAATGTAAAAATGTGTTAGTCAAACTGTGTAATAAATATTTTGCTGATTAATTTTTAACTTTTTAATTTGATATTTCTTACTACTCTCCCTGTATTATTATAACATAAATTTATTTGTATTACTAGCTATAATTTATAATTGCTTTAAGTCAACCGAAGTACTTTTATGTTATGTTTGTGTACTCTTTAATATCACTTTTTTGTAGTAATATTTAAGAAATGTATTTTTTCTTTTTCTGAGAATCTGTCTTTATTCTCTGACTGGTTTGACATTTATTTAGATATATTGTGAGTGACTTTTATTATTATTGATGTGTTGAAATTGTGTGTTTTTTTTAATAGTTAACATAGTTTTAATGTGAGCATTGTGTACATTTTAGGTTTTGCTATCAAATATGGCATCTAACAGGCTGTAAACCTAATCGTGATGGAAGTGGCAAAGAAGGTATCTGGCCCTCACCGGTTAGGAGTTGTTGAAGGTTATCAAGGGAGAAAAAATGAAATTGTGTTACATCCTCCCCATGAGAATTCAACTATCATTGGAACTGTTGTATATTTTGGTGGAGATATGCAAGTAAGTTACATTTATATTTTTTTTGTAGTTTCTTTACAATATAACATTTTGAAATTTTAAATATACTTTACTTTGCTACAAAGTCATGTTTACACTACCTACTGCTTGCATAGACACGTCCTACCTGCAGCTGATCTTCCCAATGTGGTGTATATAGACTGCTGTATAAGGAATGCATGTGCTTTTTGTATACTCTGATAAAATTGCATACTTTCTATCATTATTAGATTTAACAAATTCCTTTATTTTCATTAATCATAGTCATTTTTTAATCATCAAGTAATCTATTGATAGGTTAGGTCAGCGTTTCCCAATATTTTGTTATGATTTGAAAAATATAATAGGATATACTAATTAATATTTTATAAATGCTACTTCTTTTCATAATTTGTTTAACATATTGTTAGTTGAAATATATATATGTATTTTTTTTCTTTCGAAAATTCCATTTCTATTTCCTGACATTTTACTTTAAATAGTTTCATAAAGACAACCGAAAGATAAAATAAATTATGAGTTATAGGTTAGATTTATAGATAATCATAGGTTTCATAACTGTTTTTAAAAAGTATTTTTCCATTAATTTCTTGTATCTCAAGACAATTGATTTGTGATCTTCTGCAAATAAACATATAAGTAGACTGCTTTCGCTATGGTAAAATCATACTCACTTTGAAACCAACATCTGTCTGGATTATCCCCAAAGCATGTGATGTAAAAAAAGGTACGGTAAGCAATGTTAGCTACCATACATCTTACTTCCGTACTACATAGTACTTCCCTATATTTGGCAATATTAGATATATTATTAAAAAAAAATTTCAATGTCACAAAATGCTTTTTGACATAGTGCCTGGAATTTCGTATTTTCCTCATATAGCGAAATTTAAGATAAAATTTGACTGCCCTTAATGACGAAATTACTATTTATTAAAAATGGATTATTCAGCTTTCATACATAAATTTTTTTATCACTAGCATTTAACAAGTTCGGTAAAAGTTTAGAATATTTTAAGCAAAGTTTAATAACTTCTATAAACAATTCATAACTTAAAAATTAAATAGCATTTCTAATAATATTTTTTATAATTTTTAAATATGAATAATAAGATATGTTTTGACATATGATGCAATGCCATTCAAAATAAAAATATAAAACTATAAATAATTAAAACTAGCTATTTAAGAAAACAAATATAAAAGTTAGCAAAAAAACACTAGTTGTACAAAAAAAAAAAAAAAANACCTAATGAATTAACTAACATAAAAAAAAATAAAGAATTATTTATAAATGCAGTCTATATCCTTTCCACCACCATGTTACACATAGTAATTTATTTAAATAAGTAAATATTAAAGTTTTTTTAAAATTTATTAATTTTATTATAAATTTACAATAATATAATATTCTTTAAATATAATTTAATTTGTGTATTTTAATTGATTTATATATATTAAAATGATTTATTATTATTGATATTTAAGCATAGGAATGTTTAATTTATTGTAATATATTTGTATTTATAGCTTTACAATTTTTGTTTAATTTATTTATCCCTTACTTTTAATTAATTCTATAATTATTTAATGATTTGAGACGTGTGATTTTGCGTTTAGCATATCTCTTATCGTTATCGCTAATATGCGTATCTATTATGTTATATCTCTTATCGCTATTATGCGTTTAGCATATCTTTAGCATTTCTTTTTCTCTTCAATGTCATTTTTTTCTATCCTTTTGTGGATGACCTACCATCTAAGACCTTTTTTTTCCTTCTTGTTTTGGCAAGACCATTTCTGTATGCCATTCTGCTGCTGGTTAAACAAAATAAAAATTTCTTACAAAAATTTAGCTTTGAATGTAATATGTCAAATCATTTGAGGCTTTGATTTTTATGTAAAAAATTTAGCTGTGTTCTTTGTCGAAATTTTAGTTAGAATTTAGTTGACAATATCAACTGATAATTTCTAGAACTGATATCTTGTTAACTGGTCTATATATCTTATAATATTTTATATTTTTCACATCATTAAATCACATGGAAAATTAATGCTGTATTCTCTATTACCCAAATTTGCCTTTTTTAAGAAATAAAATTAGATTTTTCATGTCTGCGATTGTGGAATCTCTCATGGAACTGTTTAATTAAAATATTTTCTACTAGGAAATTCAAAAATAAATAATTGACTATGCAGTGTTCTATGACCAGCAAATGCAAAATTCAATCATTTTGAAAAATTTAAAGACTAATTAGATCTACACTTTTATTTAGAGGAGTTAATCATATTTATTCTAGATTGGTTTCTAATTGAATGTTCCGTTTCTATTTTACAATTAAATAAAAACTATTCTTATAAATATCTCGGTTAATCCTTACATGTTTTCATGACATTGTTTTAAAAAACAAATTATCACGTTCTGTTATTATTCTAAGAAAATATTTTCAGTTAACTTAGCATATTTATGTAAATCAATCAGTTTCGAAACACTATTCCACAATTTAAAAAAAACATGGTTTTTATAATTTTTAATATATCTTCTCATAAGGTTTATGGTACAGGTGTCAGAACGATTATTTACAAAGCCTTGATATTGTTATTGTGTCATCAATATGAAAAATAAAAAAATAGTAATAATTGGACAGGTGAAAAAATATATAGACTTACAACATAACATACAACTGGAAAAAAATTTCAGAAGAGAAACAAAACAAAATGTTTCTCTTCTAAAATGATAGAACCTCTACCCTTTCACGCAACATGTGTAATGCATCATGAGCAGTCTGTATTATAGATCTATCATTTCACTACGAGAAATTTCCATGAATGTTACTTTTTCGACAATTTGATTCTTTATGATTATCGGATTTTTGACATTTTTAATATTTTAAATTCGCTATTATAATGTTTTATAATTTTAATATCAAACATTGATATTCAAATTAAAATGATTTAAAAGTTACATATTGTGAATGGTATTTATGCAATTTTAATATCTTGCATGACGATTCCTATTTAAATTATTCAAAAATTCGATTTCGTGTTTGTATTTACACTTTTATTTTAATCAGTATCACGTATTGTATTCATGGGATTTTAAATTGAATGTTGCGTAATTAGTTACTATAAAGGTGTGATATTTTTCATTGGTAGATAATTTAATTTTAAATCTTAGTTTAAAGACACGTTACACATGAATAGTTTATAAATTGGTATCGTTATATCGAGTTTTTGCACATAAAGTTTTTGTGGTTTTTCACTCTGTGTTACAATAACTTCTGTGTGTGTATATATATATAGTGGAAAGTTGCATATCGGGAATCGGTGGGACTTCCGGAAGTCCAGATATTAGATTTTTCCGTATATTAGACCCCCAAGGTAAACAAAGCTTAAAATGATCTGAAGGCCTGTTTAGACAATCCAATTTCTTGAACAGAGATTGATTGATATTGATGGAAACTTTTTTGCTTTGAGCTTGGATCGTTTAAACAATCATCCAAGTACTTGGTCCAAGGTTTTCCTCCCTTAACCAATCAGCTTCTTAAGTTTTGTGACATCAACAAGCAGACATCAGATTGTGTCATTTTGTAGTTTGTTTTCATATATTTTAGTGAAAATAAGTTCTGTTTAGTGAAAATTGATCTGTTACGGTCTATTTGTGTTATTATGATTTTATTTGAATTTATTCAGTAATTTTAAATTCGTGTAGGTATGATTTTATAATGTTGAATATGAACAATGCGCATGCGCAAGTTTTTCTTCTGACCAATCAGTGACATTCAAGAACTTGTATGGTGTTGACGAATCATCCAATTTCTTGGACAGAGAAATTCTACCAATTTCTCGAATTCAAGAACTTGAACCGTGTAAACAGGCCTTAATAAACTATCTGAATCTAAGAAGCAAAAAATAAATAAACATCATTTTTCGGGCAATAATGTTTTAGTATTAGAATTATATCTAATGAATCAAAAACAATATATTAGAAAAAAATAATTATTGCTTAAAATATAGAAACGAAAAAAAATTTGACAGTTATGAAGATATTAATTGCTCTTTTCGCCATTTTGAAGTAGAAGGATTCAAGCAAGAAGGGGAAATTCCTGTCATTCATTAAGGTGGGTAGGTGGAGGTGAAAAATTCATTAACTCCTTATTTGTGGTTCAAGTTGAGGGCGGGAAAGTGACAAATTCTTATTTTCTCTCTGATGATTGGCTATCAATCGAGCATAAAGGCGCGGCATGCTGATTGGGTTCTCTCTTCTTTTTTTTTCTTTCTGTGTGTGTGTGACTGAAAGTGACGCCCCCTCCACGGTAACGTTTGCTGCATTTACCCTTTTTCACAGTACTTCTTCTTTCCCTAGCACTCTAATAAAAAGGTCCCAGGAAATGCCTCTTTTACTAGCCAGCCGCATGGGAAAGAAAAGGGGGGGAACTCAGTTATGTTCTTTTGAAAACAAATCTCCCTCCTTTCCTGCATTCTGGAGGAGGAGCGTCACTAACGGTCACTCAACATCCTTGGGAGGTCTTCTCTTCCCCTTTTTGGTGATTTATGGATTCAATGCATAAATCCCTAGAAGCTAGAAAAGGAAAAAACTTGTCAAAAAACCTCTTCTTTTCTTTTCTTTTAAAAGAGGGGAAGATGAAGAGATGTTTATTTTGATTGTTAAAAAATATCCGGAAAAGGGACGCCCGGATATGGGACGTTACACTGTATATATAAATTTGAAATCTCGAAAGTTTCAAAGGCAGAGTTTTCTCTAGAACTGATTTTCTTTCTTGCGTTTTTTTATTTATTATACTTGATTTTCGTGTACTTATATATTTCAATAAATATTATGAAACAATTGTTACTCATAAAGAAATATAAAAGATTAATGATAGTTTTAATTGCTTACTGGCACAAATCACTAAAATATGAAAATTCTCATGCAATGCAAGTTTTTATTGTGATCGAATTCTTGTGAAAAATATTACAAATAAGTTGCAACTATTTCATATTCTAAGGGATGTTATTTTATTAAATAAATTTTTTTTTCTAGAAAATTACTCTTATTTTTACTTCTAATAACTTGTAGGGCAACATTATTTAATAACAAAAAATAATTACTGTACAGAAAAGTGATTAAAATTTATTTTTAAGAAATATTCCTGAAAAATGATTCTGTAAAAGTAAATAAAAAAATGGTCTTGATTTCAACAACATTTTTCTTTATAAAATGAATTAGCGTTAAAAATAAAATTTACAAGAAATAAATAGTGAGTAAAATAGCTTGCACTTCAAATGTTTTCAAAATTAAAACAAAACAAGATAGGAGGGAAAAGGAGTTTTCAAAATAAAGAGAAAAAAAATGATCGATGATATTAAGTACACAATAAATTTTCTATTCTGTATCCTTCTATTAATATACACATTAATAGCTTTTGTATTTATTAATGGAGATTGAAAAAAAACATTCAAAATAGCTTAAAAACAAGCTAACATTAGAGAGTTGGCGTAGTAAAACTTATCTACATGGGCGCTGTGAATTAACTAACAACATACTTTCTTGGCTAGCTAAGTGTAATTCAGAGTTTGTTTCTAAAAAACAGAGCTAATTTCCTCACAATTCAGGTACTCAGTCTTACCCCACATGCCTCTACATATGTTAAAAATTGAAATATTTCCTAATTTGGTTTTATTCTGTTGGTTATATGAGAAATATATTTGTCATAGTTTTTGCGTATTTTTAATAACATCAGAGATGCTAATCGCTTCGCTTTCAGCAAAAATATTTTGTGGTGCAACAGAAAATTAGAAACAAAGACTCTTGTTAAATTTTGTTACCTAGCTTTTTGTTAAAATATTGCTTTCAGGGCAGAGCAAGTTAGCATCACTGTGGTATATTATCAATTCTTCTGTTCGTTTGCTAACAGCTTCGTCAAAATTAGTCCAGTATTTTTTTCAATTGGGAATGCTAACTTTTAGGATAATTTCTTAACATTCACAACGTAGCAATCTCAAATTATAATATCCCTCGTAAGATCAACGACTGGTCATTAAATTGAACTTTGACTGTAGTGTACATTTGAAATATGCAATGCTGTCATCTCAAAATAAAGTTGCTGACTTCTGGTCTGGTACCATGTATGGTAAATTAATAAATAGAACTGAATCATACTGTTTTGTTTCTTAACTTCAATTCTAACTTTTTTGATATTTAAAGTTATTACAAATTACATATTTTTAATTTTAGGATTATAAGGAAAACATGCTGGCTCACAGAGACAATAAATACTATTCAGATTGGGATCTGGAAACCACTGCTACCATACTTAACAGACATTTCCCTGATTATGTGGTTCTAATTATAAAGCCCTCTAAAATGGCTCTAAAGACTTTTAGTTGTTATGATAATTTTATGACTACAAACAATTTTGGTGCTCCATCTTATTCCTCTGATTTAGATAGCTTAAAACATCTTAATTTACTTTTGCATAATGTTGAGAGTGTTTGTGTTTCCAACTTCAATCTCAGTGAGTTTATTTGTAAACCAGTGACTTTAATTGGGTTCAGTAAAGGATGTGTTGTTTTAAACCAATTTCTTTATTCAATTCACTTCCTAAGAAATTCGCCAGATGAAGAAATGGAATTATTATTGAAAAAAATTAATTGCTTTTATTGGATTGATGGTGGTCATTCTGGAACCTCTCCAACTTGGATTACTGACAAGTCAGTATTAGAGAGCTTCTCTAAACTAGACGTTGATGTTCATTTACATGTGACACCGTACCAAGTTCTGTGTGATACCAGACCGAGAATAGGTAAAGAAGAGAAATTGTTTCGTGAATCGCTAATTAAGTTAGGTATGAATGTAAAACGAAAACTTCATTTTTCAGGTGAACCAAGATCGTTAGAGAATCATTTTAAAGTCCTTCATTGTTTTCATGAAAAAGAATAAATTTTTTATTTAAAAAGTTGCATTGTGTAATTTTATCAGTTGTACTTTTATCTATTGATATAAGGTTTTAACATTAATACTAAATATCTTATTTTTATATTAGCTGAGTTCAAAATTATTCAAACAAATTAAAAATTACAATTAAGCTCCTATGCAAAAAAAATCAAACCAAACTTTCTAAATTTTAAACTTTGTGTTATAGTTTAAGTTTCAAACAAATATTATAAAAAGTATCAGCTCTATTTTTAACAATTACCATAGAAAACAATGAGCAAACAGGTTTACACTCTAACAAAACGTGTTATTAACTTACATAGAAAAGCAATACAACAATGAGAAAAAGCATAATTTTAAATACTTTTTTTCTTAGTTATAATACAATTATTGTTTATTTAACTACACTTTGATCTCAATCAAAAGCTCAAGCTATTTTATTAAAAATATCATTATCCATCTCGTACAGTGGATTAAATAGTTCATTTAAGTTCATCGATGCCAGTTACTCTTAAAATCATGCTACTTTTCTATACCAAAATAACATGTGTTCATTGTTCTTGGGTATCACATCTGCAGGACCTGTAAAAGCATAATAAAAAATGAAAATAATGTTTAACTAATAAAGCAACAACAAAGTTTACAATAAAAAAACATAATCTATATTACAGTCAAACCCCGCTATAATGAACCTTCAAGGGACTGCAATTTCGGTAAATCATAATAATTATTACACTGAAAAAGAAAACTAATTATGAATTTCTTTAAAAAAGAATTATATAAATATATGTATAAATAAATTATGAAACGAATTATGACCCCCGAAATTGAAAAGTACTAAAGAAAATTGACTTTCCCTGCAGTTTTTAAAAAGTTTATTTCTTTCTCATTAACTCTGTAAAATGTTCCTATATATATATTTTTAAATTGCAATTTTATGTAAAAATATCATTTTTATGAGAGAATATATGATATAAAAAATCATTCTGCATTTCTTCCTAATTGAACATCTTTTAGAAATTTTTGTATTTTATAATGTCACTTAATAGTGATAAATTTTAACTATCATGAACTGGCCGCGTGCTAAATATATTTTATCTATATTCCAATGGCATGAATTACAAACAACGAGCTTTGCTTACATCAATAACGAAAAGGCACCGAAGATTACAACATATTGTTAAATAAACAAAAAAGAGAAATTATTTTAGCTATATTAATTGAAAAATTTAGTGGAAGACCCAGGTAAGTGACATTTTCAGAACGAAAAAAGAAAATGTATCCGAATTATTTTACCATATTTATTAGAAGGCGGGACTAATAATTTTTTGCTTTATTTTATTTACCAATGCATAGTTTGAAATAAAAATCATGCAAGCATACTAAATACTAATATGGATTATATGGAACTTAACTAAAATATGGAACGTAAGATCAGTTCTATTGTATTAAACATACCCATATTGACGCAGCCACTTTATGTTATTTTCTCTAATTAATTAATTCCCTAAAAATGTCATTCACTCTTTTCATTGAAAAATGTCTTTCACCCTTTTCATTTGGGTGAAATGCCATTTCACCTAAATGACATCAAGATCTTAAATTGTGTCCGTATATGCCTTTCATTTTTGAGCATGATTGCGTTGCGTTTCTTGGTACTGATTTCTTGATTTTTTTTTTTTTATTCACCTCGTGCGAAGAACGTGTATTCAGCTAGTTTAAATATAAAACTAAAATTAACGTACTAACTGTACTATCATCATATTGATAATTTTAGGAACATAATATGAAATAAAAGGGATTATATTGCGACTGAATTCTTCATTTTTTTTTATTAAAATGCAGATTTTTTTAAAGCGTTACACTAGAATTTTACTCTAAATTGTATTTAGTTGAATAAAGTTTTTTAAAGTGCCATTTTATTACAATTGTAAAACTGACTGCAAACCGACTAAATGATATAATTCTAAATTCCATTGCTATTCTTTTTTTTTTAAAAAAGTACAACTTTCAATGTGGGAACATTGCAATTTTTATTAATATAATGTCATTAGATTAATTTAATCACAAATTTATGTGACCACTAGTGATGGAAAACAATATCATTTCTAAGTATCTTTTTGGTCTTTGTCCCAACATTGATTTTTATTGTTTCTTTAGACTAAACAGGATGTTCAGAAATGACTGCCCATAATATGTATATCTAGAAGTAGATCTAGAAAAATGAAAGCAAAAAGTAAACACATTGGGGGTTGAGGATTAATGTTTAATATAACAAACACCCAAGCTTATTTATTTGAGCATTTAAGTTAAAATGTGTTTCTAATAATTTTTCGATTCCTTTCTGTTTCCTCCAGTAATCAAACTAACCTTGCTGTTTATTTCTTTCACTCTACTGTAGTGTGATTTTTCAGATTTTGATATCGTTTTTGTTTTTTCCTTCCTTAAATACTAATTTGTGACCCCAACTTTTCTTTCTATACTGTTTTCATGTTTTGATAAGGATTAAAAAAAACACACATGAAGGGTGATTTTTACGCAACCCCCTTTATAACACCACAGCTTTAAATATATGTTATTTGTATTTCATGAAAGAAAACTGCAGTGGAATTGACATCACTTTATAGCACAAGCAATTTAAAATGCATTTTATGTCGCACAAATTATGAAAATTCCAACTTTTCTTAACGTTCTTACCTTCTTAATGATCTTATCTTCTTCTTAACGTTCTTAATTTTTTATTTTGCAGAGTCTTTTTTAAGTTTTCGCTATGGATGGTGTTTTCTATACCAGGGAGCGCTGCAAGCTCTTGACTGCCTATACTTCCGGGTTACTGCGTTTGGTGTGTTTTGAAGCCATTTAGCTCACAACGTGATAATTGTGCTTTTAGACTTTCTAGAACAATATTTCTTGTACATCAGGGCTCGAAAAACCACCCTTCCGCCCGTCCTCTGCGGTCAAAAATTCCCTGCGGACAACAAATATCTCGAATCCGACGTCCGCGCATACAGCCATTTTCCCATTAATATTCGTGATATA